AAGTCAGGGATTTTGCCAAACAATACAATTTGGGTGAACCCATAGCCGCCAACTTCTATCAGGCACAGTATGACGACTGGGTTCCCATATTTAGGCAACAATTCACTGAATAATGAGTTACAAAATTCCTTGTATTAAATATATTAACGTTTTGTTGTTAATGTTTTTATCCAATTTATAATTAAAATTAAAATATATTATTAAAAGTATGATAAATGTCATATTTACTTAAATATCAAATTTTGTAATTGTGACAAAATTATAAATGTTATACTTCTTATAATAAATTTATATTTATTCATATAAATGATGTGTGGATTCAATATTTTTTCAAAATATATACTTACTTTTATTAGTTCTGTTTGTTTATTCGAAAGGTGTGTTTAATTGTAAAAGTGTTGTTAAAAACAAGTGAACGACAACTGCTATACTAAACTAAACATATATTAATTTATAAAAATGGCCATTTGGTAACAACAGTAATAAATAAATGTTTAAACTAATCATGTATGTTTTCCTAAAACCAGTTATACAATCCTTGAGTTATAAAACTTTTCCTGTGAGAGGCTTTCACAATAAAATATTTGGAACCAAAATAAACATCGATTCACTCATTATATACTGTGAAACATTAGTGATTATATTCCGTACGTACTCTTGTGAACGGACCTAATATGCGAAATGTACTCAAAGTTCTAACACAAATTAATTGAATACCCTGTTTGCCATTGGAGTCAATACTACAGTATTTAAATTAATAAAAGTAAATAATTGTCAAAGAGATTGCATATACCTGTATATAAAGGGTTGGAATTTCAGAAAATTATATACAAAAAGTACATTTAGAAAAAAAAACAGAAAACATATCAGAAAACAGGTTAAATTTGAGCCACAAATGGTTGGTATTTAAACACCATTTGCGCTCAAAATTCATTCAAAATAAATTTATTTCTTTATAAAATATATTCAATTAATTGAGACAATGAATTGGATATCAATTCATAGTGTTTTGTTGATAACACTTATGGTTAGTGTTTTTATAAGCGATACTTTCGGTCAAAACCAGAATAAGAGTAAAAGCAAGAGAACCGGTGGACGAAGGAGTTCTCCCGTCAGACGCGACGGTATTGTTCCCGATGTCATCGATTCGGTGCCAAAGGGAAAGATTACGGTAAGAATTACTAATTTAATTAGCAATATGTAAATAGTAGTAAATAATTATTGCAAATAAATTACATATAATATCAGGTCAAATATACGCCGGGACTGGAAGTGAAATACGGCAATGAATTAACGCCAACACAAGTGAAGGTCCAGCCGGTAGTCGAGTGGCCGGCGGACAAAGACTCGTACTATACGCTGGCAATGGTTGATCCCGACGCTCCCAGTCGTAAGGATCCCATGTTTGGTCAATACAAACACTGGTTGGTAATTAATATTGCGGGTTCTGACGTGACCAAGGGCAAATCTCTGGCCGAATATAAAGGCTCGGGACCGCCGAAGGATACGGGACTTCATCGATATATTTTCCTGGTCTACAAACAGCCGGGTATTATTAATACAACTGAAAAGACAGTGGCCACCGATTCCCTGACCGGTCGTCCATTCTTTAAAGTGCGGGATTACGCGAAGACCAATCGGTTGGGCCAACCCGTGGCCATCAACTACTTTCAGGCACAGTTTGACGGGTCCCTCGGATAAGTGATTTCGCATAAGTTTTGGTGTTTTTATACCATTTTTATTTATAAAAGTATGTTTACTATTAGTTTAGTGAATATAAAATTGTGAATACTTTACAAGTGTTTTACCAACATCAATTAATTTTATTATTAATTAAAGTATTATTATTGTTCGACATTTATTGTAATTAATGCCAAACAGAAAAGATGCTAACCATACAAATGTCTAATGCTTTTGTTTTAAAAGAATTAGTTTAATGCTGAGATTTATATAAAAACGGTATTTATATAAAATTAAAAATAAATATTTACAAATTTTATCATTACAAATTGTATTAAATAAACTAATAAAATAAGTCAAATAAAAAAAATATAATTTCTCAATAAAACGATAGAATTCATAAATTGTGACAAAATTTACAGAATATATAGAAATAGAAATAATAATAAATAAAAAAAACATTCAATATTTGAGATCTTATTTCTTTCCTATTTTGTGTTTTTTGGTGAAGTTTTCTTCAAAGTGTTGTCCGGACTCTTAGTCTTTGGATCTTTACATAAAATAAACCAATGAATGAATTGTTTGTAATAATTATATCAAACACTAAACACATACCTCTTGGCGATGGTATGACAGGAGCATTGCGGTCGGTCTGCAGTGCCATCGGTTGCTTAGCCCGGGTTTGTGCGGCCTT